AGGTGATATGATCGCCTCGGTCAGTTCACTTGTGCAAAGGTCTCACACCAAGCGTGCACGACCACCTCCCGAGCATACTTTCCCGTCTGTTACCAGACTGTCAAAAGATTGTTCTCAAATCACCCTGAGGGTGATGTTTGAGATTCATCTTGCGGAGCACAACGGTTGGTCAAACCCGCCTTGGCAACTATTAGTGTTGTTATTTATTTATCTTTACTTTAAGAAAGTCATCATAATGCTATGTTGTCCTCTGATGAAGTCAGACCCTTGGTTCAGTAACTTACAGGCAATGAAACAAGAAGAGCCGATTTACGTCGACAGAGAGGTTTATACTAAAAAGGTACCCGGCTGATGAAGGCAACGTTTGGGTACATACAATCATATGCTGTATTGGCCCTGAAAATAAAAATACTGAAAACATTAAGAGGGATTCCAACGTAAGGCGGATGAAGCAACCATATCCCATGAAACCACCACTTGAATGCCAGTCTACCAACAAAGGAATCAAGCCAAGGTAACAAAAGCTTAGTCTTTCAATACTACACATGAGTCACGCGAAGCCCAAGCAAAGTAACGGACATAGCTGAGCGCTTTCAAAGACATAACAGGGGAAGAGAAAACACAACCATTTTCGCTATAAAAAGCAACATGTCACATGTCTACGAACAGCTTATGAAGCTTGTAGACGATTGTCCTGAGTATAAACACGAGGGTTCACAAGCAACGGGTTTAATTGTGACTGCTACAACAAAACAGAAGAATTAACATATAAGCGCAGATCATATGGACGAAGATGTTCTGCAACCGACTCACCTCGAATCTTACGGTTTACAGACGTCTGCTATCAAACCTATGCCCTCTCAAGAGGTCTCTGAACGTTGCATGCAGGGACGGATATAAGCATCACGCTCACCACGTCAGATACAGAGCAACACAACTTGACACACTTTGCTGCACGGCGATGGTCGCTGAAGCAAAAAGTAAAAGTCTGATTAACTCCAATCTACGTACACTCTAAGAACAAGAGTACATGAAATGTGAGGCGCTTGAGAAGTGACACGTGCAAATGCGCACGGTCAAAATTGATCTTGTCGCAGTGGCTGAGATCGGATGGCACAATAAAAACTATGTGTTCCACATGTTTGACACACAGTAGGGGGGCTCAGGCGCATACTTATATGTGATACTATGTTGTGAGGTCTGTTTCAGGTACTGCAGAATGCATTGAGCGGCCAGCCAATGTTTCTCGGACGGATTTGTTGATATTGGGAAAGTTATATTGATGCGTGTAACGACTGACAAAACTACAGTGTTCCGATTAGCTTTCAGTAAGCACAGGCAATTTTATATTCCCTTCTGTACTTTCAGCTTTGACTCGTAGCCTATATTTTATGAGAAAAATAGTTTCTAAGCAATATATTAATGTGGGCGAAATCGATTTGGGTTTGCCTATATTTTATGAGAAAAATAGTTTCTAAGCAATATATTAATGTGGGCGAAATCGATTGATAAGTTTAAACGTACGGTTAAACTTGATCGTCGTCCACTGCGTGATTTCAATCGCTCTATTTCTGTCTATCAAGTCTATTCTGCTCTTTACAAACTTCGAATTTGATTTCCTCACTTTTTGTGTGAATAGTGTAGGTGGGTTTGTAATATTGTCGTCGGATTGTACATTTTTAAGTTTTATTCTGTTCGAAAATTATGTTCAAGCAATCCCGAATGCCACAGGTCACTCATCTTTGTTGTCGTCAAACCCGAGTAACGCTGAGTAAAGAGTGTTAAGTCTGAATAAGTGGTCCGAAGTGCCGTTGTAAACGGCGCGCCTGCTATATTTACTAATCACGTTCCTACATGGGTTGAGATTTCCTTTAACAACGGGTGAATGTGAAATACTCGTATCTATGGCCCTGGTCTTATAGTTGCGAAATCGTGACGACGCCAGATGTCTCTCACTCCTTGCTACATGGTTGAGATGACTATAATGTGCTGATGCATGCAATTTCACGAATGTTTGTTTTCATATTTTCTATCACTATCTTGTATCACGCGAAATCCCTGTCAAGTGTGTGTATATGAACGTTAGCTAATAAATGTGTAATTATGGGTACTATAGCATGTATTTTTCGCGAGATATAAGTATTATATGTTGGTTATAACTGTGTATATGGATGTTAACGTAATCATAAAACTGTTTATAGAAGTGATAAGTTCAAAATATTATACCCATATTTAAGCCTTTTTCGTCTATGAATAAACGCACAAACGTTTATAACTAACACCATAACGTTCATTGCTTAAAGCAGAAAAAAAAAAGGTTCTCTTTCTATCCGCCTAATGTACGTATGCGTACATGCCTACCAATATACCAGGTAACTGTTCTAATGTTGGAGTGGTTCGACGTGATACCCTCGTGCCCGCGCCGTCGACGATCGAATGGGTACAAGTGACAGCTCCATACTGTCACTGACCACATCCGTCATACTTGGTGTACATATTTAGTGAAATATTCGTTTCTAATCCTTGAAGTGTTATTCACTGTAGGAGTGTGGAATTGTGAACTCATGAGTATACTCGAAATGGACAGCTTTTCGTGACTCCATTCCAGCGCCTTTACATGTTCCGCATTCTACGCAATAATGCCAAACCAAATCAAAACCTTTCAGGGCGAATCTATCGGCTGGGTGCCATGCAACACTCTCGAAGGTGCAGGTACTCACCGACTCAAAAGCGCTCATGCAAAGTTCAATGCGCCATGTCCTCAGGGCTGCTCGCCGCCCAATAAGAGTGTACAGGGTACTCGCCTGCACCCTAAGCATATAGATAAACTTGCCATCCACGGCCAACACTGGTGTATTAGCGACGCGTATCGTCAGGTGTTTTTTTCTGTTCAGATTTTCTGTTAAATGGGTTAGCTACGCATCGTGTCGTGTCTGCGTTTCGCTTCAGATTTAGCATGATCTTTATAAAAGAATGATTCTTTAAAATAAAATACAAAACTATTGCGATATATGATTAGTTCCATGTGTGTGTGTGTGTCACCTCACAATCCTTCAGAGTATTGCTGTTTTTACGAGGCATACCTAACTTTACTAAAAGTCTCATTTCGTTTATTTATTTTGAATTCTCCGATTCTACCTAAGCATTTAACTACTATAAAGCGTTGATATCGCCTTGATAGACCGAATCTTACAAGTGTTAGTATTGTATTACATGTGTCTATCCCGATCTCCAGATGTTGTTTGGCCTTTTCCAACGTAGAAAGCGAGTATTAGGCCTCCAAAACCAAAAGGGCTAGCGTCACGTTGATTTCTGTTCTTTTTTTCATCCTCAGATGTCGTATTCATAGAAAATATTGTACCAGATTGACACAGATCAAAGGCAATTCAATAAAGTCTCTATAATCATATTTCATTATTTTCCAACGCCCTTTTTCATCTGATTTTTATATATAAACAATGGTCTTAGTAGATATTACTGGTATGTGATACAGTCAAGACCCAGTGATTCAGTATTCACGGGTTTTTTTTTCTACATTTACAAACAATGAGCAGTGGGCTGTTAGTATACATACTCCTTTTGATATATGTATTATTATTTACTTTAGCATTAGGGTTGTTATGCCAGCAACAGCAGATGACTAGCAGCTTCTGTAGCTACTATCTTGATGGTGTGGTTTTGATTTATCCACGTATATAGTAAGTTAGCAATATTTGCACTATTTATGTCGTCAGCTTCAGATTAATCGCTACCACAGATGTTAATATGTGTGTCCTCTTCGACAGGGTTCCTTTTAGGAAAGAAGCCATCTATTGCAAATGTAGCAAATGTGTGTAATGTACAGAGTTATTGTTAGTTTATATGGCAACTAATGTACATAACACATATGCAATACGCAATGGCATGTCTTAAGCAGTCTAGGACTGACAGCTCGTTCTTACACGATTCTTAGTAGATTCTTTTGGGAGAACTATACGGCTAGATATTTTAAAGGGGTGAACTGTAAGTGTGAAGACTTAAAATAAAAGGTAATAGGTCTGAAAGTTTTAAACACTAGCTGGAACAGTAGTCAATAATCGGACTAATCAAAAATCAGGGTAGACAATAATCGAGGTTTGACTGTATTCCATTATATGGTCCTGTCTTAAATCTGTGTCCAGGGTACTTTGTCCACATATCTCAACTATTTTTTATTTTACAATCTTATGGTGTAGGTATATCTAACACTACCAACCATATCGAGATGGACCGTAAGCCGGAAGGTGATCTAATAAAGTGTAGTCAATATCATTAGCCATTTCATGGGCTATATCTTTTTTCATTTGCATAGAAAACATGGGATTCTTCAAGAGTTACTTCAATATCAGAGATAAGAGAAAGTCGGGTAGAAAACAAGAAATCTGTGAGCCGGGGTCAACACACTTCACAATATAACGCGTAACAATATGACATGACTATTCAACCGCAATTACATAGTCAATTATCCACTGCCATCACCTTCTTAAGCATGGTGAAGGGAAACAAAGAAAAATCAGGCCCCAAAATTTCGCATAGTGGAAGGTATGACTGACACACAAGACAATAGTAGTAGTAAATAAACCGGAGGAAATACAAGAGCGTCAGAAATGTACATATCTTACCGTAAATATTCTGAGCGCCAAAAGCGCGCCAAACTTCATATAAAAAACCCCCCTTTTTTAAAATAAATTACAAAACAGCCTTCACATATATACAAACAGCACATTCATATATTGTTTGTTTCTAAAAATTAATTTGCGACTGTCGGAGTCGAACTTTGGGGTTTTTCAGAAGGCATGTTTCATATTTTGGATTTTTATATAGGAAAACTATACAAATCTTAAAATAAAAATTTGTTCGTGTGCTCAACCGAAATAATGGTTTTTAGAACTAGTCAATGTAGTTTCGTTCACAGAGAAGTTTTTGTTTTCATACATATATATTTATTTGCAGCACATCAAATGCCTTTTGCTCAAATAAAACTATTTCTCAACTATAGTTTTATTTTTCCATTTTGGTTTATGATTGTATCCGTAATTTTCTGGGGGAGATAATTTTTCAAAGTAAATGGCTTTGGGTGGATGCACGTGTGGGGTAGACAGCTATAGATGGACGCCGACAGGATTAATTAAAACTCGCGAAGCTGCCCGAATGCCTTTCCTTTACACTTTAAGGCTGAAACTAGTAAGTGTAAAATGAAATATGCATCTTTCCGCTACATATAACGATCAACATGCATAGCACGTAGTACGCAACGTATCACATTCAGCAACCGTTACCCACGGTATTTGCGCATGCTTCAGTTTGGGTCATCACAAAGCGAAATCACCAACTCAGTATCACCAGTGTTCTTAGTGATTGGAATGAGGTTTGCAAGATAGTTGTATGCGTTAATTGCTGTATATACTAAGAGCTTTATTTATTTGCTTTGTAACTGCCAAATCAGCAGGAAAAATGGCTCCACCTAAGAGAAGCGCCGTGTCGGATGTTGTAACCCGAGAGGCTACCATCCATCTTCACAAGAAGCTCCACGGAACGTATGTTTCGCACAAATTTATTTGTGCCTGCTTACGTTGTTGCTATTAGCAATCGAATTCTCGGTACATATTTTCACCTATAGCTAGAGGTTTATCCATGTGGTTTTTGGAATCGCAATTTCATAGATAATTTATATGTATACGCTTGTTCTATGTAGTGGCTTCAAGAAGCGTGCCCCTAAGGCCATCAAGACGGTAAAGGCTTTTGCCGCCAAGATGATGGGTACTGAGGATGTTCGCGTTGATACCAACTTAAATAAGCACCTCTGGTCTCGTGGAGTTCGCAATGTACCCCACCGTGTTCGCGTCCGCATGAGCCGTAAGCGTAACGATGAGGAGGATGCCAAGCACAAGTTATACACTTTGGTCACCTTTGTCCCGGTTGAGACTTTCAAAGGTAAGTTACTTCTTCGTATATACGGTTTGTACATGTGATAGTGAATGTTTTGATGTATCTTTTGCAACCATCGGATCGACGTCAGTGTGTTTTTAATATATTTTGAAACTATCCATCAGATCGTGGATAATCTAAAACCGAATATTTGGTTCGAATTTTATATTGTTCATGTGTACTATGAGATCGTTTTGATATCCCCTACAAATGCTCGTACGCTATTATCACCATGATGGACTAATTTTTTGTTGTTTCTGATGTGCAGGACTATCAACAATCACGGCGGAAGAGTAAAGGTGCTGCCTGAAAATAAACTGTTCAACCTGAAGTATTCACGATATATGTATTAGGTACCTGTATTAATGCATAAACCCTTAAGCATCTGTAACGATGTTTGGATATCTGTTATACTGTATTGTTCATCATGTCATTTGCATCCAAAAAGTTTTTAGTAAATAACGCATGTATTGTAGTATGAGATACATTTAGTTTATTAACCATTGTATTGATCATTTGTAACGATGAATATCTTGTTAGGTGTATAATTCATTGTATCGAAAAGTTGTGAAGTAATTGTAATAATGCGTAGATCCTGAAGTATATGCAACAATATATACTTCCTTGGATGTCTGCTATATATTCTGTGTCGATTGAAGTTCATTCAACTACTTGTGTGTCTGAGATATTGTAGCATCGAATCTCATTGCTACATTGTGTTCCGATCTCCTTAAATTCGTGTTTTTTTTTAGGTAGTAGCTCTGTAGAAAACGTATATACAGCTACGCATGGGAGGAGGAACCAGCAAGTAGCCGATTCTGTTTTAAGCATACATCATACAGTGTTGCTCAGTATTCGATCTCGGCTTTTAAATCAGTCTTGAGAAAGCTGCAATGTACGTAGTAGAAACATAATACAGTCTCACAGATAAAGAAAAAATTATGACTGCATTCACTTTTTTTAAACAAGTCAGTATATTTTGCAATGTTTCCAAGAATGGTGGACTACATTTTTACAACCATTGTTGAGAGGCTTCTAAATCGATATTTATTATCTAAATTGTTTCGTATTTTTGAAGGTATTGTTCATCATGATAACGAGATCTCAACATTAAAACAGAAGGGGTTGCATCCACGTAAGCACATTCCAGATAGTTGCTCTTCGTATCATACTGATATGAGAAGCTCGAATACTTTTAGCATAGAGCTCTCGAGGATGGGGTTTAAGCGTATCTGCCGAATCAACCAATTCGAATACGAACTTGTATACTTATGTGTAAGTTGAACAAACGAATGGAAGTCTCGACTGTTTCAGTACCGAGCATCACTAACTATTTCTGATCCTACCTGACGCGAACTATCTCATAACTCGTCTTGCACAAGTACGTTAGCATACACATCATATATTTGAATGTTAAAACTATATATCAAAAAATATTTGCCGCAACAGCCTAGAATCTCTCCCAATACAGCACTTGCTAGCCATATTATGCTAATTCACCCAATGCCGTTCAAGGATAAACGTTAAAAAAACGATCTAACCATGGGCGAATAAAGTCAAGGTATGAATAGCTAGTCCTCGTTAAATCACGCCAGAGAACATTCAAGGAAAGATGAATTTAGATTTTAAACTACTTTTGATCGCAAAAATCCTATGCGGAAATACGATATACATAAGCAGAACTATAGAACGTCTCAATATAACGGTACAAGACGAGTCCCCCTTAATTTTAACCCCAATATATGTGTCCTATTGATGATATAAAGTAAGGCGTTGTACAAAATAGTACACATTCACAAATGACCCGAATTTCATTCCACGTCTATAAACACTATTGACGACTAAATCATCTTCAATCTCTCTTAGGAGCTACCAATTAAAAGTTTTCGAAATATATATATAGCAATAACTAGACATACACACACCCGTGATCCAAAAATAGTGCTCTATAAACTACACGCCGTCCAAGCAAATACTATATCAACCTATTTGAAACATACGTCTACTCAAGGCACCTCCGATTATCCAGCCATGGCTTCAGGAAATAATCCGCATTCCCAATACATACATACTACAAGGCTCGTATTTCGAACCATGCATTATTCAAATATATTGTCGCCCATCAGTACCACACAGTTTGATAGGCAAACACAAGAAATTTTAGTAGAGATTTACATCTATTCCTACCAAAGTAATTTACTTGTGAGTTTGAGCACGGTGAATGGCTGATAAGGCATCTACCATCTCCTCTCTCTTGGCCTTTCCTCTGACGTGAGTACCAAGACGCTTCTTCGCGAGCTTTAGGGCACGCTTGTCCTTAGAGACTCGCAGCAACTCCATGATACGACGTTCGTAAGGAGCAAATCCAACCATCTGCAGAATTGGACAACAATTGCAAGGCACGGTTCATAAATGCACAATACTTTTGTTTCGCTAATCTCGTACTACTATCGTCACACCAGTGAAAACTTTTTGGATCGATAAGTCGAGAATTCCTAACAAATAATTGAACACATCAAACGCACTACTCTCCAACAACATAAAGAGTTAGACTGAATAATAAATATATTAAATATCGTCAGGCGTTTTCCAGTGCAGTGCACACACTCTTGTATGACATGCGTCAAACAAACATACCTCACGGACGACGGATCGGACGAACTTGCTTCGCGCAGAAGATACTCCTTTCTTGGAAACACGCTTGTTACGAGTTTCTCTCTTAGTTACGGGGTATCCCTTGGTGGTGTAAGGAGTGTCCTTAAGACCGATTGAGATAGCTACGGGTGCCATGGTTTCTATCTGTGCACAACAACGAGCTTCACACAAAAACGAAAAAGACTGCACAAATTCTGGACCACTTTCAATATATACTCCTACCTGCAACGATCCACATGTGGCGCAATAACATAAATATTACTACTACCAACTTCAGTACTCAAAAATAATTCCAAAAAAAAAATTTGCACTGCGTTTTTGTGCAAGTCCGAAATAGGGGGTTTTTTCCTTTATATGAGTCTGGAGGCAGAAAATGACACGATGACAAAAACCTAATTTATCTTTTTTTTATATAATACATATATTTATTTATGTATTCATCATGTACTGTAAGTAAATACAGTTGTAAATATTATTTTTTAAGAAGTTATTTTTTATTTTATTTTTTATTTACCTTTTTGTTAAATAAAAAAGTTCAATGTGAGTGCTGTTTCAATTTAGAAGGCTATGATACATGCCATAGCATTCTGAATTTGTCTTTCAAGAAGGCTATGTGCAAGGGCTGCATGTGTAAAGCTATAGCCCATTCGCCGGTCGAGCGACAGCGACCTGTAAAGTACAGATTATGCTGCGTATATAAACAGTACTATCCACAATCCCAGCAGCACTTTTCGTTTCTCGGCTAATCAACTGATCATGAGCTTCAAGACACTTCTCTCACATTGTGCCCCCTATCCGCAAAATTATGCAGCCTAAGGTCCAATCGGTACCGAACGATAGCGTGACTCCAATGGTAGATCTCACACCAAGATAGGGATACTCAAGACAAGGAGAGCATAAAAGATTCCAAGGCAGACTCCCAATCGGATGATGATCAAGAAATCAGCTTTGACAGCGGTTTCCCTGACGACAATGCTTCCAAGGAAATCTCGGCGTGATTTCTCAGCCTGCTGCAACAGCTCCAACAGCAAGTGGTGCAGACCAACGTACAGTATGCAGAGCAGTATTGGCGAGTCGAAATGAGATTTTCTCGTTGCAGATGGAAGTCAACCAGACCAGCACGTCCAACCAAAGTTGAGAGAGTATCATCCTCACGCACCCACTATCGATATTTATGATACAAAAACGAACTTGAGTTAGCAACAATGGACCCACCCTCAACAAACTCTATCCAGAGAGATCCTCTCTTGTCGTCTAGGAGAATAGTAAGCACTTCAACACATTTGATGATGTATTCAGCACTTGAGTGTCAAACTGGGCACTAGTATTTCTATCCAACCCAGGTTTACTCACCTACGAATCCATTGCAGACTTTTTCCGTTATCAAACGTAGTTACGCCAGCTCGCGACTCGAATGACGCCGGAAGTTATCGCGATTTTTGCCCGATACCACCGTTTATCTCTCGGTATATACGGTCCTCACACCAGAATCAGCGAAGTGAATGCAGTAAAGCTCGCAATATGCGCAGGATCAAGCACATTCAGTCAAAGAGTCAAAGCTCAGCTTTCTGTATGATTTGCCACTGTCAAAAAGTATTATGACAAATAAGCAGGAAGGTTTCCTAACAAGCGAACAAAATGCAACCTCAATCCGACTCCACACGGGCCTCGTGCAACCCAAAAATACATTAACTGAAACAATTCCGGCAGATACTTTCGTGATCCTTGCTCTTTCAAATGTAACGTAAACCCTGTGCTGCCACCATAGCACATCACGGTGCGCAGACGCCTGATATTTTGCGGTCACGCAATTTTTTAGCCAGACTTTCTGTAGTAAATTAGGTGAATGACTGAACCAACCAGCCTAGTACTAGGTTTGTTGGTCCAGTCTTTCACCTACTTGTATTACTACAGAACCGGAGATGCAGCGGATATGGTAAATAGGCGAATAACTCAACCAACCAACCTAGTACTGGATTGGTTGGTTGAGTCATTCACCTGATTTACGACATACCTTCGTCATTGTTTTAGGTACTATTCAAGAGAGCACAAGACCAGAGTGAGTTCTCAGCGTAATCGTACACAGAATCGATAAACCTCTGAAATATTATGACAATACCAAACAAAATCATTCACCTGAATTGATCACACACGGTGTATGGTCAAACCTGAGTTTGTAAAAGCCGAGCCTCCATATTAAAATCTTGTACTAAAAACGTACTCTTAATAGTACGTAAAACGTACGCTTAGAAGTACGTAAACTTAAGTTTTCCTTTAATGGTTTTTAAAGGTTTTTATTAATTAAATACCATTTCCATTTTACATATCAGATATTTAGACAATGCCATTAAAATGCCCCAGTAAAATACCAAACATGAGATTTGGTCTAGTTCTATTAATAGAACTATATTTACTTTCCAAATCTATTTATAACTGAATACTTCGGTAGCGAGATGGCAACCACGACCTCGACACGCTAACCCGTACGCTTAATGCGTTTTGCGGTCTGTTTAGATATGAGTCCGATAAAGAACTTATTACCGATTCATAGCTTTCACTTACCTCGTATTAACGAGCTACTGCGAAGGATGGAAGGTGCTACAGTATTTACAACTATAGACCTTACACAAGGATACCATCAAATAGCAGATATATGAACCACATCGTAAATACTTTAGTTTTACGTGGAAAGGTAAACAATATAGGTTCAGAGGTGCACCTTTCGGGCTACACTCTTTACCAGCATTCTTCCAACAAGTAATGGAAGGAAATATTTGCAGACATGCCTAACGTGCAAGTCTATATAGATGACATAGTCATCTTTTCTAAGACTAAGGGCGAACATGCCGCATTAGTCAGACGAGTCCTTTAGAGACTCAATGAACAAAACTTCAAGATTAACGAGAAGAAATGTCAATTCGCCATGAGCGAAATACAGCTCTTAGGCTACCGTATATCTGGGGAAGATATTAAAATCGACCCCGGTAAAGGAGAACACCTGTTAGATTGGCGAACACCGACGACAGGAAGAGATGTGAACAGCATGTGTTGGTTTGTAAACTTCTTTTCAGATGGAGTACCACACTTGGCTGACTACCTTAAACCTTTTGGACACTTAAGATGTCATAAAGGCAAACTAGGAGACTTGTGGACTAAAGAGTGTAATGATGCATTTAAAACGCTCAAACACGCAGTCCAGCAAGCCCCTGTTGTACAAGGACCAGTCGATGGCGTACCGTTTGGAATAGCAACGGACGCTTCCGACTTAGCCCTAGGAGGAGTATTATATCAGGTTATAGATAACAAACTTAGATATATACAATTCTTTAGTCGAGTAATGAATGCATCACAGTTGAATTATCCAACTGTTAAACAAACGCTATTAGCCATAGTGGCAGCTCCAACACACTTCCGAAATTACTTCTACGGAACAGCATTTACGCTGATGTGTGATCGCAAATCTCTTCAATATATGAAAGAGATGAAACCCGACTAGCAATTACTGAGTCGCTGGCGTGATACAATATCAAAGTTTCATTCTGATATAAAACATCTGCCAGGTATACATAACCATTTACCGGATATGTTATCACGCCTTGTACCGGACTTTTATAAATCCGTACGTGAGTTACTAGCCACTGACTGGAAATGCAATCCCAGATGGGTTTAACTGGCTCTAAAGATATTTGGGCCACATACCATAGATATGTTTGCTGCACATAATAATGCACAACTACCGAATTACAGGACTTTAAATCATCCTATGTGAGACGCCTTTCAAATAGACCTCTCCAAACATAATGCATGGGTTAATCCACCATGGCAGCTGATTGCCCAGCTATTAAAGTATGTTCATATACATAAAGCTGCCATCACGTTGTGTTGCCCATTATGGAGAAGCATGATACAATGCGAGCCAATATAATAAGATAGGGAAGTAGATACATTCCTATATCAGGGTACCCAAGCCGTCCAGAAGACGCCCTGGAGACATACTATAGTATGTCGTATAGGTCCCATTGGAACAACCAAATGGACCCCTTCTGAGACCTTCCTTAACAAGGTCAAAGAATCAGAGATTCCACTCTCTACCCAATTGAACGTTAAGTGTCAGTCTCTAGCTAGGACTCTGTTTAATAACATAAAGTCCAAGCCCGAAGTCTTTCAATCCCTATTTTTAAAGGGATTAATGAAAGACAATCCTGATGCGTATATACATATAATGCGGCTATTAAATAAGTCAGGTGGATCAAACGCACATGAGCGCACTTATGACATTTATGCAAAAGAAGGACATGAGTCAGGAAACACTACATACTTAGAGACCACGCAAGTGGATTCTTAACACCCTACCTTTATTCTGGAAGAGCAGAATGATGAAATCATTCTTGCTTGGCTGACGCAAAACCATAAGCTGAAGCACCAGAACGTAGTTGACGCAACTTAAAGATGCCAAGCGAAA